GTGTTTATCACTCTCACACCTCACATCCGCCATGAGCACTGCATGCACACTGTACAGGTACAAAGGAACACAATTTCATGCATCAAAAATGCAGGATAAAGAATACAAGTGATCTCTGTGAAGAGGCAACTGTTCGGTCATAACTGCATCTAGTCACTTTTTGTAAGCATGTAGGCGAAGCATAGAATAACCCTAACCAAATCATGAGAGGCCTCATTAAGTGGACAATGTTGGGGTATAAGAAGTAGGCAGGACTGTAGTCGGCCACATTTCTTGTTCTGTAGCTTGGTGAATTATTGTAGATCATTTGTAGCCGGGCTGAGTGTGTATGGCAGCAACAAGCTACAACTCTGCCATACAGCCACAAAGGCCAGCAGGTCGCTGGGCCGATCTGATGATGTGAATAAAAGCCGGGTTTCAAAGACCTTCTCACCAGATTTTCTCTGGAAGTACCCTTCATTTCTTGCCTTTGCATTCAGTGAGTTGCCCACCATAAAGCAGGATTTCCTACTCTGACGATGTCTGTCACGGGACGGACGGATTCATCGGGTTGAGGGAAGGTGTGCCGAGGCTCAACTCTCACGAATCTGCAGTCACAATTGCCAAACAATCCGGCTTCTGCTTCCGGTTAGGCCGATTAGCGAATCCTTTCACATCGTCTCTTCCAACGAAACAAAGGGTACGCCCACACCCGCGATAGCTGTATCACCGATTGGTAGATTGTTGCCAACTGGTGCGCGAGACCTGGCTTCGATTCCCGTTGGGCCTTCATATGTGGATAAAAGGTTATGGGTAAGGACATCTAAGCAAATTTCAATTGTATCTTTATGCCTACTAAAAACATTGTGGCAGGATTCAATCACCTTATGAGACCAAAGGTGACTACAGTTACTATTCAAGATCCATTTATAGTACCGAAAACTCTTAACCAGGCTTATGTGAATGTGGTGAAATAAAAACAGCAATCCTTTCTAACTTTAAACCAAAAAGAGTAAATACATTGAACATGTATGACCCGGTGGTGGTCTTGAAACTTACCTTTAAACGAAAATCAGCAATTTAACTAATTGTAATAGCCAACGCAATTTTGCTTCATTGACAATTCCAATAGACAAAAGGATGTGGAAAAGGCCTGGCTTTCCTTGAAATTCACGTCTGCCTGAGGGCCCGAGGGTCTTCATGACAGTGTCGAGACTCTGGGCTGCATTAGCACAATCCAGTTTTTAGACCCGCGAGGTCGAAACCTGAAGTAAAATGCCTTCTGGGAGGCAAGGGTATGTAAAAGTGTATGGCAACTGGTGGTAACATTCATCTACCAGTCTTCATTTCTTTAAACTACAGAAGAAGCTGCCTCAAAGTGCCGTTTGAGCTGTGGCAGCAGGTGGTACTTGTTGTCATGAGTTTGGTTGGGCTGGCCAAGATCCCAATTGCTGGTGGTCACCCTCGACTGGATCACAGGAGTTCGAAGCCCCGAATGGTGCGGTAGACACAAACCTGCTCACACGCACACAGACAGATTTCAATACAGATTTCCAGGGTTACTTCAGAGCTCTGTCTGACGCACATCGCAGACAGCCTCTTCTGTTTATGAGAGGGCGCTCATGTCGCTCCTGGTCACGTGGCTCCGGTTGTTGGATGCTTCGTGTTAGGCGCGTCGAACTGTGGTCGCCGATTTCTGGCCGGCTCGTCGGACCCGTGGAAAAACGGGCTGTCGACACGAGGTGGAGAAAGAGAGTTGCTGTGTTTCAGTCAGTCTTGCGGGAGGGTAAACCGGCTGGGAAAGTTTTCAGTCTCGTCTGCAAAGCCTGAAGTTCCGATTACCCGTCACCAGGCCCTCTCTTCCTTTAGCGTGGTCTCTTACAGCTTGGCTTAGGGAAACTTTTAAGTATATTTACGCCAACTTAAATGGGCATCATCAGAAACGAGGCATGTGTGCATAGTCCATCCGGAGGGACAGTCGTGAATCCACCTTCGGTCATGGAAACCAACACACGTGCATGCAAGTCTGCCTCCGATGTGTGTGTGTGTGTGTGTGTCGCACGAAACCAAAGCAGTGAGGCTGCAGGGATTATGGGATTGAGAGAAGCTCCGATCTTCGCCCTCTAGACTCGTTTTACACCCTTCAGGCTCTCGCTTCCAGCGCTCAGTCACATCTTGGAAACATGCATTCCCATGCTGCCTCGGCCTGTTCGCACAGAAATGCATGGGTCCGCCTGAGCCAGATTTGGAGTAAATAAACAAACCTTCGGCGATCCTTTTTCAAGACTAGTCGGTTGACTCCGCCTGGTGCTCCATTATCCGGTGTCCAGGAGTCTGTCGCTGTCTGGTTGTTTTGTACCTACAGAAATGCTGCTTCTTAGCCCGAGTGTTGGCCAGGGGCGACTGGAGTAAACAGACTTGGCCAGCCGCGAAGTATACAGGATCGACTGGTTATTTGTGGCAGGCATTATCTGGACCGGGAGCCAACCGATGGCTCGGCCGAGCGGTTGAAAACTGACAGATTTGCCTCTATCAACCGAAACGAAATAAAGGACATTTTCACCTTTCATCAGAGGCAAACTTAAGGGTCCAAGTGATCGGCGACCAGATGAATGGGCAAATGAGCCCAATTTGCCATTCATAGTCCTTGATTTTTGTTAGATTGTCCCTTTCTTTATTCAACTCGACTGAGTATTCACGTATGTAGTCGTATATGCACGAAACCAACAATATTAGAAGATATGAAGACCAAGATGTTGTGGTTTCTGGTATGGTCGCAGTCTCCTTTCGATTTATAGAAGTGGGTTGACCTCGTTATCGCAACTTGGTCTTGTTGTCAGGGCGACTATGTAGAACGCACCTAGTCCGAAGTCGTCTGCAATAGTAGTTGTCATGATTCCCAGCATCTGACAGTGAACTTGATACATTCTCAAACGTTTCGCCGGCATCGTAGTCGGCATCATCACTGAGCTTTGCCATTATCTGCACCAAGCTACCAACTCGTCAAAGTGACAAGTAAAGTCAATCCCTCGACAACCGTTCTGCCGAAAACGGTTACACTATCCGTCCACTGTCATATGCTGGGAATCATGACAACTAATATGGCATAATCGCCCTGACAACAAGACCAAGTTGCGAGAACGAGGTCAACCCACTTCTATAAGTCGAAAGGAGACTGCGACCATACCAGAGGCCACAACATCTTGGTCTTCATATATTCAAAAATAAATATAAATTAAAAACTTTGATCCTACGATCGACCAAGTTGAGACAACGAGGTCAACCCACTTCAAGAATAATAGCTTAAAGTAACGTAACCTTTTTTCTAGGTCATTCAAGATTAATGGCCACCACAAGCCCCTTTTTGTTAAATTTTGACAAGCACTCATCTAGCGTAATCCCAGACACACGTGTGGTTAACTTGATAGTCTTTTTGGGTTTGTGCGAGAGAGGAAGTGTGGACTTAGATGATGACAAGAAAAGACTGTATTAGTCGCCCCATTTTTACCGGCGGCTCAATACACTCTCTATCTTTGCGTATATCAAGTGAGCACAAGTTGATATTACTTTCTTCCAGGTATTCCTGATATTCAATTTCTTGGACGGTATCTAATTTTGCGCTCAGCTGCAGACGTACAAACATCAGCCAGACGATATGTTCGAGAAGGCACAATCGGAAGCAGATCTTCTGCCGTGTGCTCCGCAAGCTCTGCTTCCTGAAGTTGACAGCTTCTAAAGGCGTTTGTGTTCAGACACATTTTGTCGAGTGGGACGACGAATAGCTCCGGCATAAAAGCCACCACATGAATTGACAACCGGAGATGGATTATGTATTAAAGTTCTCACTCGAAATGGAGTTGAGATAAACGATTTTAAACCAAGAGATTCCTCGAAAACCAACTTTTCTTTGTTAAGTATCAACCAATAAAATTAAATACAAGTGCAACTGGATTGTTATTTTTGATTTTTTATAAGTAGGTATTTGAGACTCCCAGTGGAGCATATAAATGAGATGTATTCATTCTATCTCGTTTAAAGTATTAAGGGGACTGGTAGTTGAATCGCCCCATAATCAGATGTGTAGGCCATATTTTTCGAAAATCCTAACGCGGATACGAAGAGAAGCTGGATTTCGAAAAAGCCCTCTGTACATACTTTTGCTTTAGTGACAAATTGTACGTGCAAATCTGTAGTCCAGTCCCTGCTGGATTACAATCCTTTTCGAAAAAGCAAAGCTTTGCGACATTCAACGGAACCGTAAGATCCATTCTTAGCATTTGGGAAAAAATTCAACTACCAGTCCTATTTATTTTTCGTATTTGAGTAGGGTTTCAAGACTATCAGTAAATCAGTAATATGACATGTATTCACCCAATTTCGTTTAAGGTGATGAAGGACTGGTAG